AGGAAATGAAGAAACTCAACGAAATGTTGAAGAAAGACTTTGACTCTACTGTGAAGAAAAGCGAAGAGGAAATTGACAAGACTTTCATGAATTTCAAGGCAAGGAAAGAGGTACTGTCACAACTATTTCATTTTTTTTTTGCACATACGTCAATACATGATGTTAAGTCTTATTTTGGGCGTATGGGGCTTTGTCTATTCTTGGTACTTTCGTTAAAAAAATTACTTTTATATATAAACATCGATAGAGCCCATATTGTCTTATCGGTTACAATACCGCTATTGTTCTACTCTTATTGCTCACTATTAACCGTTTGTTCAATTTCCAGTCAGCAGCCTATAAACGCAGCATGATATTCAGCTGGAAGATAGCTGCGGCAACTCTTGGTGTTGGTGCTACTTGCTTGTTAGCACTGTTTTATATCCGGAAAATAGTGAGTGTTACATATATCCTGCTCAAAATAATTAGGGGCTGGTTAAATGTGCGCGCATCTTTCAGAGATTAGAAGAACGAGAGAAGCATATGAAATATATTGCTGGTAAAGCTCGTATCGGTGGCGATTGGGAGCTAGTTAACACTGAAGGTAAGAAGTTTTTAATGAACTTTACCAAATGAGTAATCATCTTTTCAAACAAATTCTTAGTATGTCTATATGTTTATTAAACATATTTTTATATCTTGTTTTCACAACATCCCTTTTGTTATCTTGATGCGAGTTAGATACATGCGTTGGTTCATTTCCGTTCAGGTAAACCTGAGGGCTCGGAGCAGTTGAAAGGGAACTGGCTTTTGCTTTACTTTGGATTCACTCACTGTCCTGATATTTGTCCAGACGAAATAGAGAAAATGATTGAGGTAAGGCTTGTCCATACATTTTCTTTATTCCATCCATTTACAAGTAGTTGCTCTTAGGTTGTCAACATCCTTGATTCGAAGCCCGAAAAAGATCGAATACCTATTAAACCTATATTCATTTCTGTTGATCCGGAACGTGACACTCCGGCTAGAGTCAAGGAGTACTGTGCAGAATTTTCTCCAAAGCTGCAAGGATACACAGGCACTGTTGAACAGGTATGATCACTTTTTACTGTATATCTATGTTGTTTTCCACAACTTCCTCACTGAAAGCCTTTGGCCTTTTTTTCTTTTGCTTCGTTACCCTACGTAGAGGTTTACACAATCACGTTATATTTTGTTGATTTCAACTTTTTTTTATACACTTTGGCTTCAACACTCTTTCTTATGCTATTGCTATGTTTTAAGCATTTTTAAAACTATCTCAAACAGTTTGCTTTTTCGATAGGCTTATGTTTTGACTTACTCTTTCGGTGAAAGGATTTTTGGATTTTCGTTCCACTTTCACTTAGCACAGGTTTCTGTTGGCTAC